TCACTATAGTTCGCATGAGCGATCTCACGATCGATCTCTTTATCGATCTCATTGAACCGACTTCACTATCGATCTCACGATCGACCTTACAATCGTCCTCACTACCAATTCCACAGTGAATCACACAATTGATCGCAATAGCCATATCGCTAATTTTCAGAACATCCACTGATCGGCATTCTTCTCGCGTGTGATTCTTGAGCTATGTTCTTATAGCCATGCTTCGACTGTACTGTCTCGGCCACGCTCAGAATGGGAGTAGGGGGAGGGGGGAAGCTTCTCAGAAGGCGCGGGCCTTCTCTGTAGATGTGAGGCCCGCGCCATCTAAGGAGCTGCGTCCTTTTGAGGAAACCTCCCCCCATCCCCACGCACCATTGTGCGCGCCGCCAAGATTGGCATTGCCACTATTGTTTGCGTGGCCGCTGTTGGCGTTCCGAGCTGGCGCAGGGGGGGGGGGAGGTCGAGGGGCGCGCGGCCCGAGTGCTCGGTGCGGTATCCTCGCACAGGCCCCGCCTCCATGGTCGACCTCTCCATCTCCGTCCTCTTGCGATTGCGCTGGCCGGGCCACGCTCGCACCCGAAAGCTGCGAGCTTCCCCAGGACTAGGAAGGAGGCACCACAGTGAGATGACTGGCCAGCACCAGCGGAGAGGACGAGGAGGAGGTGCTGGAGAGGAGCCCGGTCGCCCGTGGTGGTGCAACCCGAAGCGGTGCAGCGCATGTGCCCCAGGTCGAAAGGTCAGCGAGCCCCGCCAATCCCCCCCCCGCCCCCACCCATGACATGATGACAAACGTCTGCACACCGTGACATTCGTAACGCATTGGAACGCCGCCCCCCCTAGCGAACGGAATGAGGTCGCGCGTGGTCCCGCGTCCGACCACCTGGCGAAGGGAAAGCTACACGGGCCGCGCAGGGGCGGGAGCGGAATTTCAGAACATCCTTGAGCGGCGCTGCGGCGACTTGACAACTCACCGAACGGAGTCCCACCTTCAGGCGGGATCTGCGCGGCGCCACGGCGAGAGCGACATGTTCATCCGCTCGCGCGTCGACGAGCTGGCGGGCGGGAATCCGATTCCCAGGGGCGATCAGCGAAGCGAGCTCGACAGGTCGCTTCGCCGACATTTCGCTCTCGCCGGCATTTCGTCTCGCCGACAGCGAGGCGCCGAGACGAGATGGGGTGCGCGCGCCATCCCGTTCCATCCACGCGTGATGCAGCAGCGACGACCGAACGCCCATGCTGACAAGAAAGATCTTATGTTTCATCGTCTTCAACAGTTAGGATGGACCACCGGATATGGGGACAACCTGCCGGCTATGCGGCAGAGTGGCAATGGACACACATACCTGTACACACATATATATATACACATACATATACATAGATGAATATACATATATATATATATATATATGCATATACATATATACATATACGCAGTAATACATATCATATATAGACACAGATTCTATGAAGTAATACAGGATCATGCTGCGCCCAGGGTGCATCAACGATTGTGCAATTCTTCCTGTCGTCCCGAGTCCCCCCCTCACGAGTCCCTACATTGCAGGAATCGTTTCCCTCGAAGGACGGGCGCCGAATGGGGCTGGAGCGGCAATGACCCCCCCTTCTTCAACAAGATCTTCTTCCACTTTTTTTGACCCCCACGCGAAGATGTAGGACGATCCAGTTCAGCCCTGTTTTGAAAATAATGTGCATATATCCGTGCAACTGTTACACAGTTTCAAAGTTCAGCTCGAAGAGGTTGCGGACGTGTCAAACAAGAGCCCCATGTTTTAAAAGAGCCGCCCTTCTTCCGTGTAACCGTTGCTCAACGTGGACACTCGGGGGACGACATCGGACGAAGTCTCAAGCGAGAGCCTTTTTGTGAAACCGCACCTGCCTCCTTCCTTGCACCTACTGCGAACTTTGAAAGCGAATATTCGCCGCGTTGGGGCGAGAGTTTTAGAAATCGACTTGTTCTCCGTTCATATATATATATATATATACATTTATATATACATATATATATATATTGCAGTTGTGTTGTCGTCGCGATCGCGATTCTCCAAGAAAGTCTTTTGCGACACGCCCGCCCAGGCCTGCAGGCACGCGTGGTCGTGCGGCAGGGGCTCTGCGACGACGCCAGGGTGCGACCCCTCGCCAGAGTGACCCGGATCGCGGAGTGCGATGCGATCGCATCGGCCTGCACGCCTCGTTGCGGCGCCCCGCCCCGCCCCCCCCCCCTCCCCCCTCAGGAAAAAAAAAAGCATACATACAGATCCGCGCACCGATGGCCGCTCCTGCCAAAGGTCACTCATTGCGTGCAGGCAAGGGCTTCCGCGAGTCCAAGCATGCCGTGTGTGGTGTTTCCCTGTATGAAAAATGCAAAGCATCTTGGACACAATCACGTCTTAATTGTTGCACAAAGAGAGCATGAGAGGCCCAAGAGGTCGCTGGAGCCGCGTCTCTCTCTCTCTCTCTCTCCCTTGACGTCACGCGAGTCATGGGAGACGTCAGAAACTGAAACGCCAGCTGTCGCCACCCAGCGCGCTCTTCCCTTCACCCTGACAGGACGGGGGGATGGAGGAGAAGGTCTTTCCTTTAGAATTCCGGGGCTCACATTCGCCACAGGGAAGAGGGGCGGAGGAGGAGAATGGGAAGGGGGTTGGGCCTTCCAGGCGCCGTGCCCAAGATGCACAAAGACTGGGCCGAGGAGGCCACCAACGGGAGGCTATCCAGGCGAGCGCGTGCGCGCGCCGGGGCAGGAAGGACCAGGGATCGAGCGAAACGGTGGTGTGTCGATTTCATTGCACCGGCTTCGTTTTGACCTCGCTTCCCAGCAACGGCGGAATGACGACATAATGATAGAACACGAAAGCAAAACGGCAACTCAAAGTATTTTCTAGGTTGAGCCCTGGGAAGGGCAGGGAAGGATGGGGGGACGCCGTCAGGGACAGCGTTAGGGGTGGGAGTCCGGCGGAGCCCCTCACAAGCAAAGTTGGGGGTCGAGGTTTGAGGCTCGAAGTTTTCGAGCGTTTTTGCTGGTTCCCGACGGTTTTCCCGCCTCGGCGTGCCTTCCCGCAGATGCGCCTCGCTGAGAGCGTTCCAGGGGTGCCTGGATCGTCCAGAGCGGCCGCCAGAGACCCGAGCTATGACGCGAAGGCCCGAGTTATGGCACCCTCGGACAGGCTCGCCCTCGGGAGGCAGCGACACCCAATCGCCCATTGATCGCAGACAGGGGCCCGATAGCTCACCACGCCCGGGAGCGCGCGAATTTGCTATCGAAGGCCTATGGCCGACCTATCGGCGATGTATCGCCGGTTCCAGGTCGATGTTTCCCCCCGTGAGGTGGTCCTCCTAATGTTCCCCCACATGCCGCTGAGTCGGGGCAGGGGCAGGGTGGGGAGGGAGAGCCCCCCAGTCAGTCAGCGTGAGGGAAACAGCGTCATGGAGGCAACGGGCTCTGGGAGTGCTTCGCCGTGTTCGGTCTCCTGGGGCCCTGCCCTGCCCAGGCCCCAGGACTTTCGAAACACTCATGAGGGTGGAAGCCTGTTCCTGGAAGGAGGCGTGGGCGTGGCGTCGGGCCACCGTCTCCCTGTAGGGTTTGTAGGGTTTGTAGGGTTAGGGCCTGTCGGGTTAGTGGAGTTTCTAGGGTTAGTAGGGTCTGTGGGGTTAGGGTCTGTAGGGCGAGGGGTCTGTAGGGTTAGTAGGGTTAGGGTCTGTAGAATAACGTTTCTTCCTGAGGATGTAGCCAGTTGGTGGGACGCCCGACGGGGACAGCCACAGGGGAATGGTGCTCATTTTGTTGGCGTTGACATAGTAGGGGTAAAGTAGACCAGGAGGAATCGCATGAACCCTGATGCTTCTTGAGGCCTGAGGAGTGAAATTGGCGCCTTTGCAGGCGAGCGTCCCGAGCACCATGTGGTCTTAGGGAGTGTCCGGGACCGGATGATTTGCGAGGAGTCGAAGGCTTAGAGTGGGCGTGCAGAAGATTGGCTAAGTCGGCGGCGCGGCGGGAGGGGAAGTGAGAGGGAGCAGGCCTTCTCGGAAGGCGGCAGGGCTTCTCGGACCCCCCCCCAGCCTTTTGCGAGGCCATTTGTAACTGCAGGGAGGGTTCGTAGAGCTTCGCGGGAGGCTGGAGACTTTGTGGTCCTTCAGAGAAGACGCCTCCTTGGTGTGGTTTTCTGGACATAACTTGGTCCTCTGGCAGCCGCTCGGGACGATCTTGGACCCCCCGGGAAAGCTCTCAGCGAGGCGCAGCTGCTGAAGTGCTTCCCGAGGCGAGAAGACTGCCAAGAGCAAACGAGAATTCCCCAAAGCCTCCGAAACGTCGCCCCAGAGCAACGCTGCCTTCCCCCCCGGACGGTGCCGCCGATGCGAATTGTCCGGCAATAGCCTGGGTAATTAATCGATACATTGACTTTGTCGTTCGCGGGTCCAAAGGTGGTGCGCCGTATTGGTGCGCGCGGGCATGCGTGGGGCTGCCCAAAGCGGAAAGGCTACCCACCTCCCAATGCCCAAGCGTCGACGTCCCGAGCTTTTTCAAGCTTCCCGCCCCGCGGAGCGGGCTGACACGCCGTCCGCGTGCAAGGCATACCGTGCCGCCGGGGCCGTCGCCGCGACAGGCTACGCAAAAGTCTCGAACCGTAGGTCATTGGTCCCACCTCTAACCGACAACGGGGGTTCTCTCAGTCTCTTCCTCTCTCTCTCTCACTCTCGCTATTCATATATGTATATATGTTCATATATATATGGATATATGTATATATATGTATATATGTGTGTATAAATATATATTCATATATGTATGTATATATATATATATGAATATATATGCAATGGTCCCCAGACCATCCCGCCACCGTGTTTGGGTTGTGGGTCAGAAATATGGGGGATGTTTCTTGGGGTCTCATCGGGGCGATTTTAGGGGGACTCTCGGGTGCAGGTTTGGGGCCTATTGGACTGTGGTGGAAGCCGGTGGGGGGCCTCTTGGTCCGCCTCGGGGCCCCATTGGGTTTTTCTCTGACCTTGCGGAGGGGTTCCCGTTTAGTGTTCCCCTGGGGGGTTCTGGGGGGTACCCCCCGGGACCCCCCCCCAGGCCACGGAGCGCACGGTTGCGGAAACCGGAGGAAGATGGTCCCATTTCGGCAGACGCGCTTGCGTGCGGCACGGGCGGCGCCAAGATGATCCGTAAGATGGTCCAAGAGGGCCAAGAGTCGTCAGCAGGTCGATCCAGACCGTCCAAGATCGCGTCCAGACGGCCCAGGGAGCTCCCAGGACGCCTCGAGGGGCCTCCGAGAGGTCCTCCAAGAGAGCCCAAGAGAGGTTCCAAAGATCGCCCCAAGACGGCCCAGACAGTCCAAGACGCCCTCAAGCCAAGACGGCCTCCGAAGGCCCCAGGAAAGCCCCAAGAAGACCTCCAGAGGAGAGGCAGGGACCAACATGTCAGGCTCTCCTCCCAAAAAGACCCCCAGGAGGCCCCAAGAGGCCCCCAGGAGGCCCCCAGGATCGCGTCCAGACAGCCCAGGGAGCTCCCAGGACGCCTCGGGAGGCCTTCGAGAGGTCCTCCAAGAGAGCCCCAAGTGTCAAAATGCATTGGTTTTCAGTTGGTTTTTGAATGTTTTTCGGGTTCCCGCGTTTTCGGCTTCCCGACGCTCCAATACAGCCCAAGAGGTCCTAAAGATCGCCCCAGGACGGTCTAAGAGTCTAAGAGGCACCCAAGAAAGCGCCCTAACAGTCAAATACGCCCCCAAGACGGCCCAAGAGGCCTCCAATACGGCCTCCGAAGGCCCCAGGAACGCCCCGAGAAGACCTCCAGAGGGGGGGGCAGGGACCGACATCCTAGGCTTGCCGCCAACAGAAAAAAACCTCAGGAGGCGCCTGGAGGCCCCAAGAAGGCCCCCAAGATCGCGTCCAAACGGCTCAGGAAGTTCCCAGGACGCTTCGGGGGGCTTCCGAGAGGCCCCCCAAAAGAGCCCCAAGAGTCAAACATCATTGATTTACCTGAGGTTGTTCAAGGTTGTTAGCGTTTTCGCCTTTTCGGTTTCCCGACGCTCCAAGACGGCCCAAGAGGCCACACCAATCGCCCCAACACGGCCTACGAGCCGCCCCCAAGAGAGCGCACAGACGGCCAAAGACGCATCCAAGACGGCCCAAGAGGACTCCAAGACGACCTAAGAACGCTACAGAAACGCCCCAACAAGGGCCTCAGAGAGGGAGCACGGACCATCATTTTGGGTTCTCTGCCCAGGAACGCGTCAGGAGGCCCCAAGAGGCCCCAAAGAGGCCCCAAGAAGCCTCCAAGAGGTCCCCATGAAGCCCCCAGAGAACCCCAAGAGGGCCCCAAAACTGCTTAAGACGGCCCCGAGATGGTCGCCGGAGACGCCCCATGGCCCGAAGGCTGCCCAACAGGGCTCCGAGATGTAGCACGGCGTTAAACGGACAACGTTTGACACATGCGCCTTACAGCGGCACAGTGTCAAACGGACAGCACGGGAATCAACATCATGCACCCTATAGGGATCCTCTTCTTCGTGTTCCTCTTCCTCGCAAGTCATGCCCACTTGCCCTCCAAGGTCGGGGTTCGTGGCTACATCAGTTTTCCCCCCTGGTCTATAGCAGTTTCCACTGGTCCATTGGTGCCCATTCTCTTGTCTGGTCTACATCGGGGCGGCGCCCCGCTATAGCGGGAGCGGAGCAGTTGCAACATCTCCGTTCGAGCCCAGTTTGCGGATAGGGGTTCCGCTACGTGGAGCGAGTCAAGCGCAATTTGTTCGTTCGAGGCCAATGGGCGGGGCAGCGCTCCGCTAGTGGGAGCGAAGCAGTCGGTAGTCCTCTGGTCCGACGCCAATAAGCGGAGCGTCGCTCCGTTGATGGTGAGCGGAGCAATCTGCTAATCCCACGGTCTCAGGCGAGTTGGCGGACCGGCGCTCCGCTGATGTGAGCGAAGCAGCTTGCAATCTTCCGGTTAGAGACCAATTTGCGGATCGACGCTCCGTTAATGGGAGCGAGACAATCGGAATGATTTGGTTAGAGGCGAATTTGCGGAGCGGCGTTGCGCTAATGGCAGCGAAACAGTTGCAATGTTGTGGCTTGAGGCCAGTTAGTGGTGCTTCGCTCCGTTGAACCGGGCGACTCAATCGTAATCTTTTGGGACCAATTTATGGAGTGGTGCTCCGCCGATTGGAGTGAAGCAGTTGGGTTGAAACCACCTAGCGCGTCGCTCCGCCAACGGAAGCGAAGCAATCAATGTGGCGCGCACGGTTTAAGGCCAATTCGCTGAGTTGCGCTCCGCTTGTCCGACGCGGAGCACTCGTGCCATTGGGGTCCCGACCCCTTTAGAGAACGTTCAGGTTCGAGGGCTGCGGCTCAATGGACTGAGCAAAAAACCGGAGGATGCGCCCACTGCATGCCCAGCGGCAAAGTGGCTGATACATGTTTTGTGTATATATATATATGTATACATAAATGTATGTGTATGTGCATATATATATACACATATATTGTTGTAAATGCGTATGTATGTAAAAGCTTCCATTGATTATCTCTGCACAGGTCCTCCCGACCTCCGCAGTGCCGTGGCAGAGCCGCGACGGGTGGCCGCCCCCATTTGCCTTGCGGGCGCCGTAGGGCACCCTGCACGCGGCTTGGCGGACGCCCTGGCTTTTTGCTATTCCGTCTGGTGGGTTGTCGCAGTTTCCGGCGACATCTGAGCCAGACCCTCATGGATCAACGGTCCAGGCAGTTAGATGGGCGGCGGGGATAGGTTTTGGAATTCGTCGAAGGCGTGGCGAAATCCGAACCCCACCCCCGCCCCCCAGCGATTCAGGAGAATCGACGCTTGGTGGTTATAGATCTCGGATGTCGCCACCTAAATTTGGCACTTGGGGGCCTTGGTTTGTTTTTGCCCGGGAGGTGTTGGTTAATGTCGGCCACGCGCAAAGCCGTTGTTTGAGCCCCTCGGGCCCGGTGAGGGCCGGCGGGATGCCGAAGATTGCCCAGACCCGTCCGTCGTAATGTCCAGTATCATCTACGCGCAGACGGGGGGCAGAGGGAGGGGGGAGGCTTCTGAGAAGCACCCTTGTTTCTTAGAAGGCGTGGGCCTCATCTATAGATGTAGGGCCGGCGCCTTCTGAGAAGCTGCCTCCTTCTAGAAAGCCTCCCCCCCTCCCCCCACCCGCTTGTGCGCGCCGCCAATGTGGACGTTTGAGCATTTTGGTATTTGCAATGAGCCGCAGGCGCACACAGGCAACGAGGCGCCAGTTCGGCCGCCGATGCGGCCCCAGCATGCCCTGCGGGCTAACAGCGGCCCAGTTGCAGGCATGCGTGCTGGGGCTTCTCTCCCTCTTCCTCCTCCCGCGATGAGATGATCACGATGGGAGGTGTCCTCTGGCAATTTTCGGCATCCAGGGGCCCTCGCTGGGCCAGAGGACGCGGGCGGGCGTGGCCCTTTGGCTTTTTCGTCCTGGGGAGGCTTCTCTCCCTCTTCCTCGGGGATGTCCTGGGGGGACCAAGCACTTCCAATTCGCGAGGATGTCTGCGGCGAGAGCGCTGCCTTTCCGATGATGCTCCCAATGTTCGATGGTATCTCAAGCGAAATGCCCGGGCCGCCGTCACGACAGGCGCCGCAGACCAATGTTCGCTAACTAACGCTCGTGTCACGCGTGTGTCGCGGGCTTGGGGCCTTGTGACCTCCAGCGTCGAAGTAGTACTGCAGCGAATGGCCTATCGTGTGTCACTTTGCGGGGGCCTATTGACCAGGGCCGGTGCCAGGATATGAGGTGAGGCCTTGCAGCAAGCCCTCAGGGCTCAGGGCTTCAAGGGCGGGCCGTGGTGCAAGCGGCAGCACAGCCGCAGCCCAAACTGCGAGCGTAAAAGCGTCCCCAGAGCAGTGTGTTGCCTTAGGATGCGGACAGGCCAGGCGGCCCAGAGCCCTTCCTTGCCTCTTTGTGGGCACTTCCCGTGAGGCCGATCCGACCTGCCATTCTATCCCCAGAAATCCGACAATCCAACATAAAGGATTGGAGCGGGCGATTTTTGGGGCTTCGGGACCGTCGCAAAACGATTCAGGACGAAAAACCGCCCCTAAGGAAATGATTCAGACCTCCGAGGCCCACGCTTTGAAAAATTGGAGCAGCCGGATGTCCGGGTTTCTGCCTAGTGTTTCGATATGTCCGCGTCGGCTTCTCCTGCATTGGTCCTGTTTGTCGGTGCCGATGGCAAGTGCTGTTGTAGTGCTCACAACCACAGCGATTGTGGGTATGATCTACATGCATCTGCAAGTGTCTAGGTGCTCATGTTCTGACTGCGAAGAAAGGCGTGACGACATTACGGTCATTAGTGGACCTTCTCCTCGCTGCTGTTTAACGGTTACGATCCGCAGACCTTGTTGACGTCATACTTGCGCAATCGATCCCGCTGCTGCAGGAGGAGGAGGAGGAGGAGGAGGAGGAGGAGGAGGAGGAACGTCGGGACGTGTCTCTGGGAGTAGTAGGAAGGGTGCCACCCCTCCCTGTGACCAGGGCAATGCTGGGGCTGAAGGGCGTGATCGACCATCAGAAGATTCACAAGCTGGACAAACAGCAGGAAATTGGTAGTTTCAACACCATGAGCAAGGAGCGTTCGTGGTGCTCGTCCTCGCTAGCTCAGAAGCATGGGCAAGGGAGCCAGGATGTCTGCAGAGAGGGCGGCAACGGATGAGGAGGAGGAGGAGGAGGAGGAGGAGGATACTGCAGCGGATGATGGGGATGAGGAGGAGGAGGAGGAGGAGGAGGAGGAAGAAGAGGAGGACAAGGACGATGGCATGGGGGAATGACCTTGCGAGCGAGGCGAAGATCTCTGGTGCAGTACTGCCTCTTGCCCCGCTCGCCACGGCGTCGGTCGTCGGAAGCGCCCGCCCAATAGTCTTGCCAAGGCGTCCCTCGCGCTCGCTGACGGCCTGAGGACACGCTGGCGGACGGCGCTTGCTCGCTCCCCTCTCCGCTCAGAGGCCAGGGCACGTGAAGAGGAGGCGGGGAGCAGCGTCCCCACACCTCCTCGCGTTGAGAAACAATTGCGACGGGAGGTTTTTCGCTATTTCCGGCCTCCAGGGGCCCTCCCCGGGCCTCGGGATTGTCAAACAACGACTCAGGACGACAAACCCGTCCCTGGCAGGAGGTCCAGACTTCTGGGGGTCGACGTCATGCAAAAATCATAGCGTCGGGGGTCTGGGTCTGCGGAGTCGGAGATGCGGCCAGCGGGCCTGAGCGACGAGCGCTGCTGGCACTGCAGGCTCCCGCTGCGCTGCCGCGCCGAGGGAGAAAATGGCGGAAGGTACTGGCACGCCCAGCGGTGCCTGTCCTGCAGGGTGCGGAAGTTCGAGGCGATCCATCCGAACAACAAGTTTCGCGTGGCCTGGGACCTCCTCGGTGCGCCGGAGGGGGGTGCAGAGCTTCACCGACCTGCCGGCATCCCGTCGCCTCTGGAGCTCGACCCCACGCAGCGGGGGAGGCAGGAGTTGTGGGTTTTCGCCCGCAGGATCGTGCCCGCAGGGTCCCGCCCACAGTTGCCACGTGCGCGTGGCTTGCCAGCCGTCGCCCATGGGGTCCCGCCCACCGGTTCCTGCCTTTCGCTGCCACGTGGGATGGTTTTGTCCGTCGTCGCCAACGGATCCCGCCCATAGTGCATCGCCCCTAGATGCCCTGCGTGCCAGATTGTCCGATCGTCGCCAATACGGGCCGGTCCATGGGGTCGCGCACTTCTGGCCTGCGTGCCGGCCTTTCTGGTCGTCACCGACTGGGTCCCAATTTTCGTCGCCTCGTGTGCTGGCAGTCCCCGTCGCACGTATACCATGGGATCTAGCCCACAGGGTCACGTGTTGCCTTGTTCGCCCCTTTGAACAATTTGGGGCCCAAGACAGGGACTGATCTCTACGCAACAGTTTTCCCTCGCCACTTGCTACTAAATTGCGGGCGCATGCGGCACACCATATGCATGTCGTGGCGGCGCTTTGCTCCGTGGACATGCCGACTGAGTGTCCAGGTGAACTTGTCGGCCAGGTGTCCTTCTGGATGTGCTGTTTGGACAGCAGCAGCGTCGTGCCTACGCCTACGCGCGTATGCGCGCACGTGTCTAGGCCGTGCAAGGCCGCCTCAAAGCCACGCTCGTATCCTGCGCGCGCGTGACAATGGGCTAGTCAGATACGACAGGTCGGCGGATCGCGCTGCTGTGAATATCAATCAGCGGCGAAGCGTCCTGGCTTGCTGTTTGGCCCACCAGAGAATGTTATAATACCATGTTGTGGACTGTGCGACATGTTCTTAGAACATGTCCGACTGAGACTGTCTTGCTTCAACTCATCGGGCTTATGTTCAGAGAACACTGTGGTTGGTATTCGAGCAGTCTGGGGTTCTAAGAATATTTCGTTGTAGGTCTATACCTACACTGGCAGTCTTGGCGTCTGTGGCTAAATCTTCTTGGGCTTCGAAAGAGATATTCAGACGTGCCCTACAAGACATGGGCGTCAGCCCAAGCTGAGCCTGCCCAGAGGGGTGGCCCGCACTCGTTCTGCGGTGTATTCCCCCCAGCCGCCCCAGTCTTCAGCTCGTGACCTTACGGAGACCCCATGTTTTCCCCTTCAACGTAGCATTCCTACCTCGTGCGCGCAGGTACTGCGAGAGTTTCTCTCAACTGCATCGCCCACCTCCACGACACAGTCCCCAGCTGGCCCCTCCCCTCCCTTTGGGCTGGCTTCACGTGAGCGGAACCTCTCACCCCTCGATACATATGGGCCGTTCCAAAAGTGGCTTTGATAGAGTCTCTTCCGCGGCGGAAGGTGGCGGAAAGTCGGCGGAAGTAAAATGAGGCCGCCTCCGCCGGCGGAAGCCGGCGGAAGGGCGCAGGAAGGTTGCGGAAGTGAAACATGTGCCCCAAAGAGATGAAAACGTTTTTGGGTTCAGGGTCTCCGGAATCCGCCACGTGTGTGTTTCCTCGCGGGCGGCACCACTATTCCGTCTTCTTCTCCATCGCCCATCAGCCTCCACATCGCTTGCGATCCCCGCCTTGGGGCGCCCTTCTCGGTCAGCGTTGCTTCAGGCGTGCTGATCCTGGGGCACGACTTGATAATGATCCCTCTGGTCACCTTCTTCGAAAACGAGACTGTCAGCCTCGGCAGGCGGCTGGGCACTGTGGGTAGGCACTCTTCCCACCCTCCTCGCCTCCCCTCCGCCTCCGCAGAAAACTGAACCCCACATCCTGAGTGGGGTTCTTGTTTTCCAATAGCACCCTCTCCTTCTCCCTCCCTCCTCCCTCCTCCTCCAGTGCTGCTGCTGTACTACCACTACCACTACCACTTACTACCATACCATACCTACCATATCACACTTACTCTACCATACCTACCATTCCATACCATACCTGCCATATCATACCATACGTAGCATACTTACTACCATGCCATACCTACCATACCATTCCATACTATACCATACCATGCCTATCATACTATACCATACCATACCTATCAGGTTTCGTGCCCCTCCCACTCCTCCAGGGAGGCCCTGCCAGAGCGAGGAGGGTATCGGCCCCTCCAGGGAGGCAGGCTTCGTGCCCCTCTTACCCCTCCAGGGAGGCCCCGCCAGAGCGAGGAGGGTATCGCCACACCATATGATTTATCAGGTTGCATGTCCCTCCCACCCCTCCAGGGAGGCCCCGCCAGAGCGAGGAGGGCATCTGCACACCATATCATTTATCAGGTTTCGTGCCCCTCCCACTGCTCCAGGGAGGCCCCGCCAGAGCGAGGATGGTATCGGCATTCCATATCATTTATCAGGTTTCGTGCCTCTCCCGCTGCCCCAGGGAGGCCCCGCCAGAGCGAGGAGGGTATCGGCACACCATATGATTTATCAGGTTGCATGTCCCTCCCACCCCTCCAGGGAGGCCCCGCCAGAGCGAGGAGGGTATCGGCACACCATATTATTTATCAGGTTTCGTGCCCCTCCCACCCTTCCAGGGAGGCCCCGCCAGAGCGAGGAGGGTATCCGCACACCATATTATTTATCAGGTGTCGTGACTCCGCGGCTGCGGACATGACAGTCCGCAGCCGCGGCCTGCTCGAGGAGTGAGATACTGCTCTAGAGTGGCAGCCAAGAGGGGTGACGTACTGCTCAGAGGAGCGACAGCCCGCAGCCACGGCCTGCTCGAGGGGTGAGATACTGCTCCAGACTGACGACCACGAGGGGTGAGATACTGCTCAGAGGGGCGGCCCGCTCCTGCAATTGTTTGATCTCGATATTCCGTAAAGTTCTCAGCTGCGAGTATGCGTGAAAACACCAGCGCCGAACGACATCGACACCATCCTCATCGTCAGCCATTGCCATCATCACCACTTCTTTCTTCCACGCCTTCTTCTCCTTCCTCCCCGCCTTATCAGCATTCCTGCTCTTGCTCGCCCGAAATGCCCATTCTGCAGTGCTGAGGTTCACGCTGCCGAGCGCGGCCTTCGATTGCCGTCGTTCGCCCGCGCTGTCTCGCCCCATCCTCCCCCTCCCCCTCCTGCTCCTCCTCGCCCAACTCCATCATTTCCTCCTCTTCCTCCTCCTCCGCAGGCCCCGCCGGGAGCGCCCGGGCACGACGGCCGCAAGGTCAGCGGACAGACCGCGACGCGGCACCATTGTTGACCCTTCTGCCCCCAACCAGCCCTTCCAGAAACGATGCTCTTGGGAGCTAGTGAGGAAAGGAGGGCGACAGTCTAGGTGACAATGTGAGCGACAGGAGTGCGCTGGGAGATCTCCGGGTGCGTGACAGACTCTTCGAATGTCTCGCGAGGCAATCCTTGACACCTCCGTGCGAGGCACGCGGGGAAAGAGGGCGATAACGAAAACGCCGAGGAGGAGGAAAAGGAGAGAGGAACATGAGGAGGAGGGGGAGGAGGACAAAAAGGACAAAGAGAAAGAAAAGGAGGAAAACGAGGAAGACGAGGAGATGGCGGAGGACGAGGAGGAGAATGAGGAAGTGGATGAGGAAAAGGAAGAGGAGGAGGGCGAGGAGGAGGAGGAGGAGGAGGAGGAGGAGGAGAGTGAGGTGGAGAGGGGAGAAGCAGGAGGGCGAAGAAGAGACAGAGGAGAAGGAGGAGGGTGATAGAAAAGGATGGAAAGGGGTGAGGGGTGAGGGCAGGTCGGCCATTTCAGGACAAAGTGCCCCTTGATCCCGATAGCCCGGGGAACTCCGTTAGCATAATTCGTGTTTGTCCCAGGGGTCCTCGAAGGTCTGGACCCCTTCCTTGGGACCGGTTTTTCATCACGAGTCGTTGTTAGATGGTCCTTCGGGGGCAACGATAAGTGGGCATAGGCATAGGGGGGATGCATCGACCCCCAATCGCCCATGGATCGCCGATAGGGGCCCGACAGCCCACCCCGCCCAGGAGCGTGCAGACTCGCTATCGGCGCCTATCGCCGGTCTATCGGCGATGCATCGCCGATCCCAGACCCCCGATGTCTTGTTTTTTGACAACGTCGACCTCCTCGTCCTCCTCCTTCTCTTCCTCCTCCTCCTGTTCATCCTGTTCATATTGTTCCTCCTCCTCCTCCTCCTCCACCACCTCCTCCAAGGGGTGTGTGCCCCGGGGGGCCTCTGGGGGACGTCTTGGGGGCCTCTGGGGGGCCTCTTGGTCCGTCTCGGGACCCCCCCTGGGTCCGAAAAAATCTTGCGACAAGCCGCGGGAAGCCCCCGACAAGCCGCGACAAGCCCCGAAAGATTTGGCCATGAAGACTCCTCATGAGTGAGGATTGTAATTCCTTCGTTTGAGGTCAATGTTCGGGATCCCGCCAATGGGGTGTGTGTCCTGTGTGTGTATGTGTGCGTGTGTGAGTTCGATCGGTTTTTGCAACGAGCCGCCCAAAACAGATGCCCCCCAGCCGCTGGCGGCTCCAGACAGTTGCCGATCGGTGGGACTTTCGGGGGGCATCTGTTTTGCGGCAGTTCGGTGCGCCAACGGATCGAACTCATGCCCCCCTCAGGGTCCCCCCCCCTCTTTCTGGTGGTTCCCGGTATACGCTGGAGAGCTCGGGTTTTTGCCGATGCCTTGTGACGGAAGCCCATCCCAGATTTGGACGATCTCGTTTTTGTTGAGAGGTTAGCAGCGGTAGCTCGCGGCAAAATTCATATTTGGTTTCGTCAGTATCTTGTCGGACGGGTCTGGGATGAGGATAAGTTTGTTCCCGAGCGTTCCGGGACGCTCTCAGAGCGTTCCGGAACGCTCTGGGAAGGCCGCGGCGCCCGAGATGGCACGGCCTCCAGAGTCGCCAGGTCTCAGATATTCTCGAGTGATCATCACCCGAGTTTATCCTCTTCCTAGCTTCGTCTTATTGGGTCTCGTCATTATCTTGACATCCCCGTCAGGCCAACCCGAGTCCCCCGAAATCGAAGCTTACGTCGCGCCGATCCCCCCCCTCTCGTCTTCGCCCCGAGGGCAGGGAGCCGCAGGGGGCGTTTTGGGGCATGGCAGTCTCAGGCATGGGCGCGCTGGGCGTCGCGGTTCGCTGGGCGTCGCTGAGGATAGCGTCTGCGTTGGGCGTCGCGGTTCGGTCGGGCGGCCTGGTTTGAGAGGGGGCAAATGTACCCATACCGCTACCCTTCGCCTCGCTTCTGCCTTTCTGGGCCTCCTGGGAGGCCCTCGTCGCCACCACTGGTTTCGCTTCGAAAACCTGGTCAGAACGCACCCCGATAGAGGTCCAGGCAGTAGCGGTATGGTTTCTTGTTGGTCTCCCCACGAGCGGCCTGGTTCTTTCTCCAGCCGCGTTGGGCCGGGGTGTGCTGCGCACTCGGCCCGCGATGCGCGCGGCAGCCACAGTGCTGCAGTCCCTGGGGATGCTGCTCGCCGGCGGCGGTGCGCAGCCCCTTCCCGGGAGCCTCCCCCCGCGGCTGCGGCCAGCGTGGCGAGGTGCCGCCGCGCGCACGCGCAGCAGCTCGTGGCGCGCGAGCTCCCCGCGCCCGCGCGAGCCCGGCAAGCCGTGCGGCGAGGGACAGGCTCGGCCAGGCGAAGCGCGGCCAGGCTGAGCTCGGCCGGGTGCACTCGGCCAGGCTGAACTCGTCCCCGCATTCTGCGTTCGAGTGGGGGATCGACTGCAGAATCGATTTCCCCCAGCATCATTTGTTCTCGTCCAATCTACGAGGAAAGTGCGCAGCAGGTCCGGAGACTCGACAACCATTCTACGCATTGCTCGTAGATCCAACGAACAGCATCAGTTTTGGGGGTAGAGCCATTTTGCAGCCGATCTTCTGCTCGAAAAGCCTGGCCGAGGGCAGCCCGCCGAGCTCCGCCGCCGAGGTTCGCCCCCAGCCGAGGTCCGCCCCTGGCCGAGGTGATGTCCTGGCCTGGGCTGAGCCTGGCCGGGTTTTCGATCGGTCGCCCAGGCGGCCCCCGCGCCCTGTGCGCTGCAGGGGCTCCTGTGCGCCGCCCTCCCCGGGCAGGGCTCGGAGCCCGTCGAACATGTGGCGAACGTCGAGGCCGACCCATCGAGAACCGGAGTCACCGAGCGCGTTCTGCTACTCGCAGAGTGCCTACTCGCAGGCATCCGAACAAAAGCAGGCCTTCCTGTACGTAACGGATCGTAGATCCCCCGCGGCAGATCCAGGCCATTTGCGAGTATGTAGTTTGCGAGTCGTGGAACGCGATTGTCTTACAAAATTCAGAACCCTACGAACGCAATGAAGACGCAGCCTCCGTGAAGTTCTCGTTTTTTCCAGCAGGGATCATATCCATCTGGGTGATTCGGTTCGATACACCTGCAGAAAAAAAAAAAAAAAAAAAAAAAAAAAAAAAAAAAAACAATTAGCCTGGCGAAGGACCCAACCATATGCACTTGTGAATGCCGCAATTGTGCTGGGTGGTGGCGGACGCATGCGGGCGGTGCCACTGGGACCTTCGGTGGAGCTCCCTATGGGGCCACGAAACGCTGTACGGGGTGGGTGAGACGCGGTCAGCAAGGGCTGTGCTGCGTGGTGGCGGACGCATGCGAGCGGTGCCACTGGGACCTTCGGTGGAGCTCCCTATGGGGCCACGAAGCGCTGTACTGGGTGGGTGAAACGCAGGCAGGGAGCAAGGGCTGCGCAGGGTGGTGGCGGACGCATGCGGGCGGTGCCGCTGGGACCTTTTGGTGGAGCTCCCTATAGGGC